AAAATTGCTTATTAAACTGATCAAAACTTAGACAATATTTTACTTTTTTTTAGTCTTATAGTTTATTGATGACAGCACTGATAACATCGACAATCAACGTTTTGTACAAAGAATTGTGTTAATAAGCAAAAAAGAAAAAAGTACTGCTGATGGTGGAAAACAAAAACAAGGAAATTTGCAAGCAAAATCAACGATCAAACATAAAATACGCTGCTTTAATTTATCGTTTCAAAATAACTGTTAAAATTAATATTGCAAAAAAAGGAAAAAAAAAAGAGGAACATTTAACAGTCTGTAAAAAAAAAATCTGTAAAAATGTTAAAAGTAAAGCAATTAAAATTAATACATTTTTTTATTGTTTTTATAGTTTTTGAACGATTTTCGCATAAATATCCCATCTTTTATCAAATTTCCTCCTTTTTTCCCTTCTGTCGTCAGTTTTTTATATTCAGTAAAAAAAGTATATTTTTTTTGCCTTTTTTTTTTAAAGTTTCTCGGAAAAAAAGGTATTGCCAGGTTCTCTAACAGAAAAAAAAATTCAATTTTTTTTTTTTTATTTTCAGATACAATTAAAGTGATCACTGTTAAAATGGTACAGAGAATATGTAAATTTGTCTATAATGGTGCTGAAAGTGTAAAATTTGCAAATTTGCTATCGTAAAGTACTTTGGCAATACTGTTACGATTTAGCTGATAATTGTGAAAACAGTTTTTAGTGTATGGCAGTTAGAAAGTTAAAATTGTGATAACAGACAACTTTTGTAAACTCAATTAATACTGATCAGTTTATTCAACAGCAATATAATCGCACCAATTTCTTCCTTTCCTTGTAACATAACAATAACAAAAAAAAAATTACTGTTTCTAGAAAATTTTTTCAGCAAAATTATTGCAAAAAATGAAAAATTGTACGACTAATATGACAAAAATCTCACTGTATATTTATTAATGTTTAAAAAATTTATTTGCCAGGAAAAAAAGCACTAAAATGTATAAAAATTTTTAGCACTTGAACTAAGTGAAAAAAAAAATAGCTCTTGTTTATGGTTGGTCTATTTTACTTGCCAGTTTTGATGTATATTTTATAAGGGTCAGTCTTTTCACCTGCTTTTCTTCTTCCTCCTCTTAATTTTTACTTTTTTTTTCTTGTCTTCCGTTTTCTTTTTCTTCTTGTCTAACACTGAACAGGAATTATTCCTCTCAATAGGCTCTTTTTTTACTACATAACTTTAACATTATATACAACCATCGAACAAAGAAACAAAACTTTTCAGAACTGATTTGTGCCAAATTTTTATGGAAAATTTATTTTAAAGCTCCAACAGCAATATACCAGGAAAAAATTGTCTAGAAGTTTGGAAATGATCTTACATCTCATCAAATTTCAACAAACTATATTAACAGTAAAAAAAAAAGTAGAGCTAAAAAATTATTTTTTAAGCACTTTGAGTCTCCAAAGTCGTTTTTAAAATTTTTAGTGAAAAAAATCAGAAAAAAAAGTTGGTATTCTTCTGACAACACTTTTATTATTACAATCGTTGTTGAGTAGCGTCGCCATCAACCAATTCGGTAACATTTTGTCGTACCACTATACCACCTTCTGCACGGAATTTCTTTAAATCAGCAGCTTCTTCAGCAGCGGCAGCAATTTCGTCTTCAATACCCTCTCTGTAATTGGGTATTAGTTAGTGGTTAGAGTTTTTTATCTGTGCTCTGACACGAAACAGAAGTTTGATACATATAAATTAAACGCTATTTACATTTGACACACAACACTGACTATTAACATCAAAAATCTTATTTACAAATACTTTTTTTAAGTCTACTTTTTTAGCCCCCTAGTTTAGCTACTAACAAAATTTTGATCGTCTTTTTTTTGTGAGGGATTAATAACTGAATAATAAACTTATTTTAGATAAAAAATTAAACTTTTACAAAATTGGAGAGAAAAGAATATTGTATAACTGCTACAGAAACCTTACCTGAAATGAAAAGACCGTAATGCATATGGATTCTGAGGATAAGCATGATGAACAACAACAGTAACGTCTCGATAATCTGGACATTCTTCTGGACGGACATCTAAGCAGCAGAAATAGTCAACCTCATTATACCAACAACAAACTGTGGTTGCATTTGTCTAAAAAGACATTTGTCTCATTCAAAACTGCTTTCGATTCAAATCACCAATATCTGAATTACAGTAAAAATGTAGAAAAAAAAAAGAACAAAATGTTTCTGAAAGAAAATAATAAATGAAAACAAATGTTATGCTGTAAAAATTGTCGAAGCAAACAGCAAACGTAAACTCCTTCATCACTTTTTAACCGTGTTTTTCTTAACGCTATAATAATAACAATAAGAAAAAAAAATTAAGAAGCAGCCTAACGATCAAATAGTTGCTTAAACAATTTAAGCCTTGATTGTTAAGACTGTACCTTATCTGGCAATGCATTGATACAGAGGTTGTTTTGATGTGGCAAACATTTTCGTGGATTACCGTCAGGACGTAGCATGGGCCTGGCATCGCTGGGGCATGTTGGTACATCAACTCGTTCTATGAGTCCAGCACGAAACACTTCAAAAAGAAAAAATAGTTACAGGAAAACTACTTCTTTGTATAGAATGCCTATTTTTCCTTCCTTCCTTTTTTTTACTGTTATAACCAGAAACATAAGCACAAAATTTAAGTTTTTCAAAAATTTTTATTTTCTTCAACCGTAATTATAAACTCTTTATTTATCATTTTTTTTAACAACCCAAATGCAACATTCTCTCTAAAAAACCATTCATTTACCGGAATGTTTCTCCAGCTTTTTGTCATTTAAAATTACGTACACAAATTCCAAACAAAAAAAAAAGTTCAGAATTTTCTTGCTCTTATCTTTTTTTTTTTTTTTTT